CAAAAGCTCTGTGCCAAACATGCCCTTAATGATTTAAGAATTATGTTTAAGATACTATTTACAAGAGTAATTGCTAGTTAAGCTTTCATGATTTTCAAAAGATAAAATATGAAATATGACATGTTAATTGATTTGAATAGTATGTTACGAATACGTGATTCTATGAACTCTTGTAAAAGAGTAAGCTAGTGATTGAATAATAATCATTTAAAATCAATTGAAAGGAAGACGTATGTTAATTGAAAATGTTTATTACTATGCAAATTGTTATGATTTAATTGTAAAGCATATCATTATGTGTAATCGAGTCTTGAAAAGAAAAGTGTGATCATGCGTCATAAGAGTGAATTACATAGTAAATGAGTACGTGAATAACATGCTAGTCATAGTTTCTGATAAGGGATTAGCAAGACACTATTAGGATGATATCTCCTGTCGCAAAGTAGTTGTCTAGAAACTAGATATCATGATAGACTGATTTGTTCTTCTATCATGATAAGCCAGATTCGACATCTAGTCGTGAGTTAAGTCCGTTTGGACGCTAGATTCGACATATACCAGTGAGTAAAAGAAATGATAAAAGATTCGAAAAGGTTCGTAAGTTTGCATTGAGTGAGGACATGCATTGCATAGTCTTGAAAATGTTCTTAAGCTATAAAGAGTTTATAAGTTATGAAAATATTTTCAAGCTATAAAAGTGTTTTCAAGGTATAAAAGAGTTTCCAAGTTATAAGAGTATTTTCAGTTATAAGAGTATTTTCAAGTTATGAAAGTGTTGTCAATATATTAAAGAGTTCTCAAGATATGAAAGAGTTTTTAAGTCTTGAAAGTGGTAATTTTAACCAATATTGTAACTATTTTGGGTCTAAACCCATATGAATCATGAGACATTATTGTTTTACATATATATTTTTGTTTATATGTCAAAAGTATTCCATGTTCAAATATGAATCATAGAAGATTGTGCTTGTTGTAATGATAAGGATCGAAATTTGACATAACTTCTATAGTGTATGTATATTCCTGTTTTATTATGGTTTTGTTTGTATCAGTTCTAATACCTAGTTCTAAGTTTTACAAATTGTTTTCTAATGAAATTTTTTGGGACCATATTTTTATAAATGTGGTTTAATGCCAGAAAATGTTTTAAAACCACAATATTTTATTTTATAAAAAATCGGGTGTTACACACCCGATGTGGAAGGATGATCAATAGATTCTAAGTTAGGTGGTTGGTGGTGGATTGGTGATGGAAAAAAGGAAAATGGCGGGGTAGACAAAGGTGGTGGTGAACGATGGAAGAAGGGAAAATGATGAGGCATTTCTTATTTAATAAAAATATAAAGATTAATATACATTGTAACTGACCGAAAGAAAAAGAGAAAATAAAATAAAAAGAATATAAAATTTGTTTTATTATATGGGCGAGACCAATTAAATAAAAAAAGAGAAAATAAAATAAAAAGAATATAAAATTTGTTTTATTATATGGGCGAGACCAATTAAATAAAAAAGTTATAGACGAAAATCAAGAATCTGAGAAAACAAAGGGACTATTTATGTAATTTTGTCTAACAATAATAATTGTCCACTGCGCGTTGCGAAGACGACAATGTATTTGACGAATGATGGGTTGCATACATAAAGTATATATGAAGTATTTACTAAACATATAACAATTATACGGAAAGTTACATAGAACAAATTTACAAAAAAAGTCTTAAAATTAGAGAAAAACGAAAAGGAAAAAACAAAATGACGCACATGTAACTAAATTGTGCCACATACATATTATGTCACAAACGAAATGACAAAATATTATTGACTAAAACCAAAACGTCAGGCCTAAATCGGAAAAAAAGAAATGCGTCGACATTTCAGTTTAGTATATAGTATAATAATTTTAATTTATACCGTTGAATGAAAACATATTTTATGTGACCCAACTCGTACGTAGGAAATGTACATAAAAATTTACGTTGAAATGTAAAGAAACTTGAATTTATACTAACACCAAATGAGTTTTTTTTTTTTTTTTTTTTTTTTTTTTTGAAGTTAATGAACTAAAGTTCAAATAATCAAAAATATATTATATGAGACTTAACTCATACGTAAGAAACATACATAAAATAAGCACAAAAACGTAAAAAAAATTACGTCGAAACGTAGAAAAACTCGAATTTATACCAACACGTACATATAAAAATGCAAGTAAGCTTTAAAAAAAATTAACGAACGAAAGTCTTAAATTTATGTCGAAACGTTGACTACCGACGCTATGCACCCCTTTATTTATTTATTATTTATTTATTTTTTTAAGTTAACGAGTTTTAGAAAGTTCAAAGTCGAGGGGGTCACAGTGACATTTTAGAAAGTTGAGGGGTGGTAACTGTAGGAAAATCAGATTGTATATACTACGAGGGGCAAACATGAAAGTTTATAAATTAAAGGGGAGGGGGGGTGAAAGTGACATTTTTAAAAGTTTAAAGTTGAGGAGGTAAAAGTCACATTTTACAAAGTATATGGTTGAAAGTGACATTTTAGAAAGTTTAAAGTCTAAGCGGTGAAAATTACATTTTACAAAGTAGAAAGATGAAAATTATCATTATACAAAGTGAAAGGATGCAAAGTGTCGGTGGAAACATCCATCGAAGCAACTATAGGAAAATCAGATTATATATACTTCAAGGGGTAAACACGAAAGTTTAGAAAGTATTGGGGTGAAAGTGACATTTTAAGTAGTTTAAAGTTGAGGAGGTAAAAATAACATTTTACAAAATATATGGTTAAAAGTGACATTTTAGAAAGTTCAAATCTAGGAGTGAAAATGACATTTTACAAAGTAAAAGGGTGAAAACTATCATTATACATAGTGGAGGGGTTTAAAGCGTTGGTAAAAACATCCATCGAAATAACTCTAGGAAAATCAGATTATATATATTACGAGGGATAAACATGAAAGTTTAGAAAACGATGAGGGTGAAAGTGACATTTTAAATAGTTTAAGTTGATGAGGTAAAAATGATATTATACAAAGTATAAGGTTGAAAATGACATTTTCTCATTTCAAAATGTAGGAGGTGAAAAATGATATTTTACAAAGTGAAAATGTAAAAATTGTCATTATACAAAAATGGAGGGGTGTTAAGCATTTATATAAACATCCAAGGTTGTTTATTAATATATAGTGGGATAATGACTTAAAAAGGTAATATATTTTTCGATTTGTATACATTTGCTAACTAAGTTTTATTTTTTCGTCCACATTTCCCCCTTCAACTTGTAACTGTACACATGCAGTTTTTATGACCGGGTACTTCAGATAAGCCGAGAAAAAAAATGTCTTAATAGGGTAATATATTTCTAATTTTGTAAACATTTAGTCTTTAATATTTTTTTTAGACATTTAGTCCTTAATATTTTTTGTTGCAAAATAAGTCATTGTTATTTTTGTACACATTCGGTACTTATGACCAATTTCTTTAGGTTTTTTCTTACGACATCCTATGTGGGACAATCACTAATAAGGTGTCGGGACTGTTGATGCTTATGGCCACCACAACCTTGACTGCTTGGTTGCTTAGGTCTTATGGTTTGACTTAGCTCTTGTGTTCTGAACGTCATAACTTCTTCATATGATCTTCGATTTTAACAATCTTTATATCCATGTGTTTGTATTTGAGTCTACTATAATTTTCGTTTAGATTAATCCCGTTAAAAAGTAATATATATATATTTTTACTTATGATTTTATAAAAAACGTTCATACATACATTAAAAAAGAACGCATGGGTATAAAGATCGTAAGTAAAAATATATTACTTTTTAACGAGAGTAATTTAAATGAGTTCGTGCTGATATAAAGATTGTTAAAATCCGAGATTATATGAAGAAGTTATGATGTTCAGAACACTAGACCTAAGTCAAACCATAAGACCTAAGCAACCAAATTAGCCGAGGGTACGGTGACCATAAACATCAACAACCTCGAACACCTCATTAAAATATTGTTCCACATAGGATGACTTGAGAAAAACCTAAAAAAACTGGTCATAAGTACTGAATGTGTACAAAAACTTATTTTGCAACAAAAAAACTATATATATTAAAGACTAAATGTGCATAAAAACATTAAGAACTAAATGTGTGCAAAATGAGAAATATATTACCCTGTTAAGTCATTTCCCCCGGTTTACCTGGAATGATCGGTCATAAGGACCGAATGTGTATAAAAACTTAGTAATCAAACGTGTACAAAATGAAAAGTATATTACCGTTGTTAGCCCATTTATATTAATATTAATAGTTTATGACATTGACCGCTCTCGCTTTTTTTTTTTGAAATTTAATTTAATTGTACAAGTAAAGTATTAACATACACCTAACATTATATGCAAGTGTTTTTTGTGACTTTTCTAACATTCTATCATATCTCTATATAAAACTTCCAAATATTACTAGTAAAAAAGCAAATTTACATCAGAAAGTAAGAAAGTAATAGCTGTTGATTCCTATGATTGGTTGTTGTGCCACGACTTTAAAAAAGGTAAACACATTTCCTCATCCTTTTTTGTGGTGGAAATTGTCTAAATGAGCTGTTGGATTTTGCATTCCAAATATAGACACGTCGCATTTTTAGTTTAATATTTTTTTAACAATTTGTTTTTCATTTATGTACTGAAAAATTATAATATTCAATACCACATTACACCCTCTTCTCTTCTATGTTTATTACTGTTCAAATTAAAACACTGGACTAATTATAAGAACCGATTAAACATTTGTTTGTTCAAGTAGTAAATCATATATTTTTCTAATTAAATTAAGGTATAATTGCATGATGACAATTGATAAATAACTTACACAATCCTCAAGAGCATTTGAACGTTTTTAAAGAACATTCAACGGGTTGGTAAAGTTATGCACCATGAATGAAGGTACCCATCATTTAAACATAAATGAACGTATGAATGAAGGGAGAAGGAATAGTCTATAGTTACCCGATTGAAGACCATAAAACCCAGGTCCAAATCAACACCATCCATGGTGACAGTTTTGGCATGACCGCCGAGGTACTCCTCCTTCTCATATAACACCACCTCAACCCCCGCTGCTGATGCTACATATGCCGACACCAGCCCACTTATGCCGGCACCTACCACCGCCACTCTCCTCTTACACATCCTCTCTCTCTCTCTCTCTCTCTCTCTCTCTCTCTCTCTCCCTGCAATGCAAAAACAAGTTCAAATGATGAATAATCCATGGATATGAAGATTAAAATCTATAAAACAGATAACACATTAAACCTGCAGATTCAGAGAAAGAGAGTGAAGTTGGTTAAGAAAAAACAGCTATTTTTCCTCTAAGCCAACAATACTGAGAGGTCACTGGGTAGTACATAAAAGGTCCAGGGAAGGGACAAAAGATGTTGGGTAGGACATTATATATGAAGCTCTACTAAATGGATAAAGTTAACAAGTATACGTAGAGATAATATTTATAATACGTAACACATCAAAGACCAATAGAAGTCAAGCATCAACTTGCAACTCGCCCCACACACACATATAGACAACTTTATAAATTGAAGTATTGACATAGTTCGGTAAAATTAGCATGGTTACGAGGCCAAGCATGTAGATGATTAATTAATCTACTATTATCATAAAGTTCAAGCATTGGATTGATTTACTTTCATCAGCATGCAACGTCCATAAAAAAGGAAAAAGATTAAAGAAGAAAAACATCCAAATGTTGGGCTTTAACTTTTAAGTTTATGGTGGAGGAATATACTTGACTTTTGCCATATGTAAAATAATCACCATGCTATTCATTCCCTGTCAGGATTATAGATGTTGAATTAACACAAACAACTAGATTTGAACTAATCGAAAAAAGACCTATATATCGATTATGATCGAATCATTTTGATATCAAATTTATCTTTTCTAAATGCAATTTAAAATAAAAAAGTATTTTTATATATTTTTGGACAGTTTATAAATACAAATTGGAAAAAGAAAGGGCACCAACTAATCTTAAGTTTTGGAATTTATACCCAATGGTAGAGACAAATCAAGGAAACAAAGACAATGACCAACTCAATGCTAATTAAGAGATTCGCCACGATATAAGACGGCTCTTAAATTTATTGTTTTAAGAAAAATCCAGAAAATTTGACATTATTTATCAAAAACTCATGACTATTTTATATATCAGAAAAGAAAACTCCGGGTAATTTTAAATTTTAAATGAGGTTTTTATCCGACAATCCAAATTTACCCAACATTTTTCCAATGAGCTTCTTCTTCTCCAAGATGCACCAAGAATATTCCAAAGCACTTAAAAACAACTTTTGTTGCTCACAAGGCTCAAACTAGGGTTAGAGTTTCAAGGAAGGACGTTGGATAGGTAGAGGCTGAGAATGGTAAGGGTTTGGGAAGTTAAGGAGCTAAATAGGGCTCAAAACTCCAAAATTAGGGTTTTGGTTCTGATCTTGTACGCCCAAATTCAATACCTTTCATTTTTTAAATAAATCTCTCTCAATTCTCTCCAACTTTTACCAAATTCAATTCCAAAAATTTATAAACAACTCTTTTTCAATTCTCTCCATTTTTTAAACAACTCGTTTGGTGTATTTTTTTTAGATTCAAAGATTTATAGTTTTTCTCTAAGTTTTTAGGAATTTTTTTTAATGTTATGTTATGTTATGTTTTTTTTTTCAAATAATGCAATATAATGTGTTTATTTTTAATTAATGAAATATTGTGTTTTTAATTAAGACTAAAGTTTTTATTTATTAAATAAAAAAACAACTGTGACAACACTTTTTGGATGTGGTATAAACTAGGGGTGAACAGTGGAACAGAGTACCCGCTTTCGGAATCGGAACCGCCTCGAACCGGCGGTTCTGAAACCGAAATTAAAATTTGTTGTTATAGTTAGCGTTTTAATATTTAGTATTTAACTTTACAATAATTTTAAGATATGTAATGGAGTGGATATATTTAAGATGGAGTCGGCGGGTACCCGGCGGGTAGCGGTTTCCAAAAAAAATAAGAACCGGAGGAACCGTTCCAAAACTTTGGGAACTGGAACCGGAATCGGTTCCGGCAGTTCCAAGATTTTAAGAACCGGTATAATCGGTTCCGGTTCCGGTTCCAACATTCCAAGAACCGCCGGTTCCGGTTTCGGTCCAGACCATTTGACCGGGTACCCGTCTACGCTCACCCCTTAGTATAAATCACATTTCTACCAATTTTATGGTAAATGTTTACGGTGTGGTAAAAGGAGAGTGTGCCACCGCTTGTGTGGTAAAAGGGGGAGTCTGGCACACTCCCTCTCCAGTCTCCCGTAAACCTACTTAAAAAAAAAGGACTAACTTGGCCGATCCGTGATCTCCGACCGCCACCCATTATCAGCATCTCCCTCAAACTCCCTCCCTTACCGCTATTTGATTAGTTTCTTTTGGCGATTTAGGGGTTCTCTTTTTTCTTCATGGTTTGCTGTGTTTTTTTAGTTGCAAATCCCGTGATATCGTTGATTGCTTTAATCATTATCTAGACATTTTTTAATTTTTTAATTGTAAGAAGTAGAGTTTTACTTTTGGGATGATATCCTTCATCAATTTTCCATCCAATTCGAACCTGATTTTGTTTTAATAATTAAGTATCTGCATTATTATCTTAATATGGGCGTAAGAATGGCGGGAAATGACGGCCAATAAATTTATCACCACCATCATCAATAATTCTCTCTCTCTCTCTCTCTCTCACTCTCTCTCTCTCTTCATTATATCTAGATCGGTACTGGCATTTTTTTTTGCATCAAGCTGGTTGATCTGAAGCGGCTGAATAAGGTACTGTCTGTCTCGGTTTATAGACACAGATGTATGTACTAGGCTGTTCATGGACCGTTTTGTGCCTTTCCTGGTTTTTCGTTTGAGTTATTATGCCAAAATATCTGTATATATGCAATTTCTGCAAAACTTTACTTAAAGTTGATAATAGCTACCTGATCGGGAAGTTGATGTCTCTGAATTAATATTAATCGGCTATGTATTTACTGCTTGATGTGGTTAGTTGCAGTTAAGTAGCTATTGGAAAATGGTTTTGCATTTGGGTACCATGAGTTGGATTGATTGTATATCTAATTGGTTGCTCTAATGCCTTCCCCTGTGGTGTTTTCTATTTAGATCATACTGCTTTGAAACCAAGTACTCTTTTTTTTGTTGTTGTTGTTGATTGGTCTGTATAATGTATAGGAAAATGGCTGATTAAACATAATTTCTTGCCAATGATCTACGTGGGCTGTTTGCCTTTTGTGTAGTTGTTTTTTTGGGGGCGTTTTTATTTTTATTTTTGTAAAACCAATGATCTCTTTGCATGTGTTATATGGGTAAAACCCTTTCCTCCATCCATATATTTCAGTAGCTATTTCCATGGATGCTGTGGATGAAACAAGTTCCTTCTTTGACACAGCACCTCTTCTGAAAGATGGTGATATCATAACCAGAAAATTAACCCAATTTATTGATCAGAAATCCTCATCATCAGGCATGTTCACTTCACCTGTAAGTGTATTTTGTTTGGGTTGATCTTGTTTGAATGTTTTGTGATGTGATGTTAGGAAGTGGGCCAAGAAGGGTTGTATGTGTGACATCTGGTGGGAGCACTGTTCCTTTAGAGCAACGATGTGTCCGTTACATCGATAACTTCAGCTCTGGGCATAGAGGAGCAACGTCTACCGAGTATACCTACCCCTACTTCCTTCAAGTTTCTCCTTTTTTTTTTTTTTTTTTTTTTTTTTTTTTTTTAACAAGAAAGACAATGAGGATTTGTTGATTATATGCAGGTACTTTCTGAAATCTGGATATTCAGTCATCTTTCTGTATAGGAGGTGGAGAAATTCTTATTTTATAACGCCAGTTACAGTTAGACAAACATACAAAATTATTAATTCAGAAACAGGGGAACCTGCCAGCCATATTGTAGATCGCTTCCGGAAGATCCGCTACTCGAATGTTTCCAGGTTACCGAAGATGATTCATGCATACAAGTACAAGGTTTGTTAAAAAAAAGAAAAACAAATACAATATTAATTTGTTGTATATTATTAAAATCTACTCTGTTTGTTTTACTTTTACAGTGCAGGAGTCGCACTCTGAAGCAGTTAAGACAGCAATTAGCGAACATCATGCAGTAGGAGTCATATTTCTTTCTCTTGTTTAAAGCTGCGTTTCTTATATATGCTTAAAGATTTCATTTCATGTCAGGCTGTTTCAGGAGGTTTCTTGCTCAAACTTCCCTTCACAACCATCTTTGAGTATCTTCAGGTTAGCACCAGTAAAAACTTAAAGCTGAATTTTTGGAATTGAAAGTTGACCTTTTAATTCATAACAATTAACAAGTCTGCAAGATTAATCATCAAAACTCAACCTAGCATACATGGATATCATTTATTTTGTTTCTATCATCTTTAATTAAGTCATACAAATCTTTGACTTTTTTGTTTTTTCTTTGCAAAATGGCCATCTTTCATATGAAAATGACAAGAACAGTGAGTTTGAACAAATTGTGGAAATGTAAATGCAAAAATGACAAAATCGTGTCCAAAATCAGAAATGTTGTTTTGTACTTACAGCTATTACTGCTAATGAGCAGATTTTACGGTTGATTGCAACATCAATGCAGATGCTTGGACCAAGTGGTATGTTTTATCTTGCAGCTGCGGTATCTGACTTTTATGTTCCATGGGAGAGCATGGTAATATTTATAATACATTTTATAAAAGAAAAAGAGGTAAATGAATGTAATTTTTTTTTATACACATATATATGTAGGCAGTACATAAAATTCAGTCTGCATCTGGTCCTCTGGATATGCGGCTTGCCCAAGTCCCGAAGATGCTTTCGGTTTTGCGGAAAGTGTGGGCCCCGACAGCATTCTGCGTATCAATCAAGGTAGATAGATATATAAGCCCTCACTCACTGCATACAAATATTTACTTCTTTACTTTGTTGTAGAAATATTAAATAAAAAAATATGTTTGGGTTGGTTGGTTACATTTATATATTTACATGATCAGTTGGAGACAGACAAAGAGATTCTTTTAGAGAAGGCAGATGCAGCTCTGAAAAGGTACAAAATGAATGCGGTTGTAGCAAATGAGCTGTCAAGTCGTAAAGAGGTAGTAAAGTTACTCTTTCTTTTATAACTCAATAAGCCGTGAAAACAATCTAATCTTTATGAAAAGCTGGGTGGGTGCTTGATTTTTAAACCTAAACAAACCATTGCTTTAAAAATTACAAATGATAAATTATATGGAAGATATACTTTTGAAAGCTGTAATGGCCTTAGGTTTGAAATTAACAGATCAGTGACATTGTTTGCTTTCGTTGTTGTCTTCTTTTTCAATGAAAATTATATGGTTCCATTGTTATTTATGGTTTGAAGATGATTGTAGTAACATCCTTTAGAACCAATTAAAACTTTTCTTTACGTTTTAAAAATTGTTTATTTATATTTGCAGAAAATCCCGGTATAAAAGATCATTTTGATTACAAATGTTTGTTTCCAAAATGTTAAAACCCTAAGGATGTTATAATCAATACTGATACATAAGTTACAGCGTAAAAGCGTAAAAACTTGATGGTCCTTAATACTATTGCAGGTTGTCTTTTTAATCACTCAACATCTTAACCAAGTTCCAATAGCTTAAGTCTTGATACTTGTGATGCATATAAACTGAGTGGGTCAGGTTGGGAAAACTTAGATACATAGGGATTTTAATCCCACAATATTGATATGATTCCTAAAAATTATCAGACCTGCAAAACCAATCATTACCATACTATATCCATATAGGCTTACATTCCTACATATCTATTCCTACCGATCCTCACAGATCCTAGGCCATGATTATCAGGGGAAAATTATCTCGACTGATGAACCGTTAAAAGATTGACTGCACAACTAAGGGCTTCCTTGGTCTGTGTAAGTCACAAAGAATATACAGACATACCATTACAGTTGTCTGATCATGACCTACTATTTCTGGTTATCCACAAATATGTAGACATACTATTACAGTTGTCTGATCGGAACCTACCATATTTGATTATCCGAATGGGAAGACTATATCGTACTCTCGTACGGAGCTACTGTACATCGACACCTTGAAAGTGTCACGGAACAAAACTTTACTCTTCATCCTTAGGTTACACACATTCTCCTAATGAGACTACCTTATATCAAACTTAATCGAACTAGGTACCTTCCACAAGTCTAAGTTTATCCCTAGACTAGATTACAGTGTCTGTAACCAACTTTTAATACAAACTCTATTATTAGGGGACACTAACCTATCTCTAGTGTATTTATATTCCCTATAGAGCATTAAGTATTATTATTCTTTTATCTTCTCAACAATGCTACTTTTAATACTATTATATGATATTATCTATTTAATCCTAACATAAAATAGAACCCTATTTGGTTTGCACATAGCACAGTATATACATGCATTAACATATAAATCCATACAATAAGCATATAATTCATATATGATTCCCAACATATATTTAATACTTTGATTTAATACTTGTATTAAATCATGTTCATGAAAGAGACTATGCACTTACTTGACGTGGGTGGGTGACTGACGATTTTGGCAACACCTCACTTCGTGCTTTCGAAAGATCTAGATGCATAAAGTACTAAGCCTTAGTCTAGTTTCGTAATCCTAGTGACTATGATAATTAGTCTAGATTCCTTACTAATCTCAATGTCTACATCAAGATCTATCAAGTAAGGATCAACCAGGCAGCACAGTTGGGAGGCAGGACCATTTCGGCATATAGCCTTTTGTAAAATCCAACAACAAAGCCAACGTAACCATTCTAAACACCACTCCTGTAAGTAGATCAATCAATATTATAAATTTGAATCACTGATAAATCTTATTTATAGGTTCATAATAACGACTTATGACTATAAATATAAGTTACACTAAAAAAGACTAGAGTGTAGCTTAACTTACAGAGGTTCTTCCTGACAAAAGTTAGGAAATTGCACTGGCAGAGCTTCTACCCGCTAGCTACTACTACTTTAAGGATCGCAGGGCTTCGCCAAAGACTAAAACTAAGAGAAAATGGGCTAGAATTGAAAGAAAGAGAGAAAGAGAGAGAGAGAGAGAGAGAGAGAGAGAGAGAGAGAGAGAGAGTGTGTGTGTTTGGGAAGTTGTGGGAGAAAGAATGAGGCTTGGCCTCCTATTTATAGCTGATTTTGAGGTGCACGTCGCGCATTCTAAGGTGACGTCTCCCCAGCCATTTTATGCCATGTATCAACCTCTCTATGGTCCATGTTTTCACCTTCTAGAAGCGTGTGTCGTGCACCGACGCGCACCGCGCACCACACAAAACGCAGATGTTGTAAATTCCGTAACTTCTTCATACGAGCTCCGTTTTCGACGTTTTTTATATCCCCAGAAAGCTCTCGACGAGATCTACAACTTTCCTTTAGACTGCATCGGCTAATTCCATTTTAGTCTCTATTTTTTATATGATTAAATGATTTTGATAAAATAATAAATCTCTCGTATGGACTCCATTTTAGGCATTCTTTTTCTCAAAACTCCTATCTTAAAGAGTACTACGACTTTTCTTTTGGTGACTTTAGCTAAAAGTCAACCATTCTCTTCGTAGTTTTTTACGTCACACATTCCTTGTGTGTGGCTGTCATTATATCTTATAAAAATCATATCTAATTCATATGGAGTCGAATATCTACGAAATTTATATTTTCGGGATCAGGACGACATATATATATATATATATATATATATATATATATATATATATATATATATCTATATATATATATATATATATATATATATATATATATAATTTGGCGCACTTATTTTTACGATTTACGGGCAATATGACTGATTTTTCCTATTTTTCCTTAATACGAAACTTGTATTATATAGTCTGCAGCACGCACGACTATAGAATATCCTATTCAAGGATTTCAATTTTAATAATTATTACTTATTATGTGTAGCCTGAATTTGCGGACGTTACAATAATCTCCCCCTTAGGATAATTACGTCCCAAAATCATCAACAAAACATGGCTGATAATGACCGTAACTCTTATGTCTTTTCTATTGAGTTTCCTACTCTTAGACTTCTTGATTGTTGACGGTGCTCTATCCCGTACCTATTCTTCCTTCTAAATTTGGTCTCCATTGGAGGCTCTTGCTCCTTCTAGAATTGACTTAACCTAAGATAAGATCTTTCTTTTGACTATTGTAACCGACCGATGGCTCATGTTCTAATGACCTATCGTCATATGATGCAAAGGCTAGACTCAGGTCCCTTTGAGTCGGATCCTCACACGAAGGATACATTCCTTCATGTTCTAATGTGATATAATCACATTATAGCAGGTAGCACTTCTAGCTATAGGCTGCTTAATCCTAACGGCAATTGCGATACTTCTATTGATCGCTTCAATTATCTCTTCTTTTGATCTAAAGTTGGACGCTACGTCGAACTTACTTCATAAATTAGTCGGACTTGATTCGATATGACCACTAGGGTCAGAAATAACTTTCATCATCTTAGTCGTTACTGAAATGATGGCAACGATGAACATGAATGAACAATTCAACTACTAGTACCTTAGTAACCTTGTGACTCCTCCTGATCCAAGTACGAGTCATGTGCTTCACGGTATTACGGGCCCATACTACCTTCCACACCTACGTATACTCGTCCCAAAAGTTGTCTTGTAGTTTTCCTAAGTTACTATGTAGATCACAAAAGCAATTTAACACATATAGATGTGTCCAAATAATCATATACAACAAATTTCCTAGACTCCACTACGATTTATTTCATGCGTATCTTCAACCGCAATTCTATTTTCAACCCTTTGGTATAAACTCTTTCCCGTGTAGTGTCCTGCTTACAGGCACACTATACCATAATTTATTCTTAACCAAACAATTATATTGAAATCATAATTTCTTAATGCCACACAACAATGTAACTTAACTAGAAATTTTATAACTTTTGAAAATGATTACAACATTTATTCATACATTATGCCCATTATATTGGGCTTCACGTCCTATTACTATCTATATATGACAACTACTCATATATCGATCTTCGGACAAGTAGTTTTCTACTCTTGATTTCCTGCAACGGCATCTGCTTCATCAAGGATTATTTAGTAGCTTATACCATTGGGCTTTGCTGGTAGGATCCTTGGGGTTTTCTTCTAAGCTTTTGGGCAGCCCGCCTTCATGTTCCCTTCTTATCCGCAAGTGAAGCAAGCTTTTACTTTTACTAGGCAGTTTGTACATATATGCCCCGACTTCTTGCATTTGTAGCAGACGAAACACTCGCCGGAATGCCTCTTATTGCACTGGTCGCACCACTTCCCTTCCTGGTTGCTCCTAGACTCGTTGCTTGGCTTCAAATACTTCTTTTTCTTGCCATTGTTGTTGTTGCTTCCCTCAACTCTCCTCTTCTCATCGACTTCAACTTTATCGGCTGTCCTTTTCTTCATCATCCATTCGACCGAATTTTCAGCCCAGATGGCCGCCTTAAATGTACGAGCCTGCTTAACCGACAAAGTGTATTCCCAAGGTAGCCCCTTGGCATACCTTTCAATCTTGGTGAGTTCGTCCGGAAAAATTCTTAGGGTGAACTCCATTTTATCAGTGAAGGTGTTGGTGTACTCATTCACTAACATGCTTCCCTTTGTCAAAGCCAATAATTGATTCTCCAATTCCAACATTTTCTCAGCTGAATAGAACTTCCTCTTGAAATGGGTCAAGAATTCGTCCCATGTCGGCTGCAATGGCTTGTTGGGGCTCACAATTTTCCCTAACATGTTCCACCGACAAAGTGATGTGCCCTTGTGCCTCACATCATAGGCAGTTTGTAGTTTGACCATGCATCCACATGTTATGAAGGCCGAATCCTTCTCTGATATCCAATCCATGACTCCTACGAGATCTCACTTCCCGTTAAATGATGATGGCTTGCAAGTCATGAAATCCATATACTTGCAGTAACCTTTGGGTTCGTCATTTCTCTGGACCTTTAGTTGCTCTAGTCCTTGATAACTTTCCAAGTCATCATTATTTCCTTCTTGGACCGTCGTGGCATGAAAAGAAATCGGTCCGTTGTTGAATTGT